GGTGTTTTGTGCATTTTGACTTGGAAATGTGCTTCGCGCCACAACGGCGTGCAATTTTTCATGTCTCATCTCCCCATATGTCTCCGCACCCGCCGCTTTAGCGAGCCTACTTTTCGACCCTCCGGAACCACAAATCATTGGAAAAACACAGTGAATCGCGACTTTCCTACCTTTTCGCGCATCTGCATCTTCTTTCTTCTGACTCTTTCTCTTCTGAACTTTCTCTTCTCTCTGCCTCTGCCCTGCTCTGCTTTTCATCTGTCCATATTGTCGGAAGTTTAGCTTCTCAACTTCCTTCGACAATATAGTTAAAGATATGTATCTATATATATATATACACATAATAATTCCATGATATATATATATATACTAAATAATCTCAATATACATATAGATTCGTATATATATATATATATGCATACTCTACCCAGCAATTGTGGGATATTGCGCTTTGGCTAGTGGTTGCCGAAGCATAATCGCTGCCCCTTGCTCAGCATATCTAGATCATTTGGTGGATTTTCCGCAAGGGTTCCTCCAAGATATTCTCTTCAACCAAAAGACTTCGCTAATGACATTTCAATATGTTTCATATATATGTATATTCGTATATATATAGTTATCATGTATAATAACTAGAACACCTATAATGACTAGAATTACTATAATAACTAGAACATAATTATCACAACTATATTGAACCCCCCCCTTCGATTCCCCCAAGGTCCGCCTCTAAAGCCGCGTTTGCAAGAAGTCACCCCGCGGGCCCACTTTTTGCACCAAGATTCCAGCACCAGGATAGCCCTAAGTCAGTTGCTTTGGGTACATGCTGGGGTCAAAACACCACGTTTGTGAATCCCACACTGTTCTACACATGTACACACCAGAATCAACCCCATCCGCGTTGCAACAATGTGCTGCCCCCAGTTACACGTTGCCTCGCAAACCCCATAACCTGATATTTATACATATATCTAACTATATGTATGTATTTATATATATATGTCTGTGTGTCTGTGTGTGTGTCGTGTCCCCCCTCCCTGAAACCTACCTTTTTGGTACCCGCCCTCGAGTCCAAGCCCAGAAGACTTTTTTCGATATCCGCCCCAACTCCACCCACGTCCGTCCGCAGCGGATATGCCTCGTTCCCTTGCTCTCTTCTCCTGTTCCAACCCACGCCTACCTTTCGATCTTTCACCCTTCCCTCTCAAGTTTACTAACGACAATCATTCAATCCTGCCATTTTATGGAGGCCTATCTTTAATGGCAAATCCCGTTATATCCCCTGATATACCCCAAAAAAAACGGTAATAATCGCCAACCCTATATCCGTTGATGCTTATATACAATATACATCCCTAGTTACCAGCTACCATTATAATCACCCCGTTTTAATAGCAATACCATCTATGTATGTTTGGTTACTGTATATCCTTTTGAATCCCATCAAATCCGCATTCCCATGAATATCAATTCTTGAAGCCCAGCAAATCCCTCTGTCCCAGAAAATATCCCCATCATATTCTCAATTTACCGCATAAATCTGATTGGATCCCAGTAAAAACCATGGTGTTTCTCTGATTCATCCCATTAAATCGTCATTTTTCATCCCACTAAGTCGCCATCCCATTGAATCCCCGTTGAATCACCATCAAATCCCCCCATTAAAGAAACCCATTACCCATCAATTACCCATGGAAAATCGTGAAATCTCCATGGAAATGGTTTGGATCAGGACAAGGCCAGTGACAGGCGCGGGTCGCCACTGCATGCGGCCTGCGCCAAGTGTCATTTGAAGGTCGGGTCATTGATGTGCCACGAATCGTATATCATATATGGGTATGGGTCAATACCTATAGATACATTTTTAGTGGGATGAACATCCATAAATCCCAGCTATTTTGGGGTGAACAAAAGGTACCAGGGTTTTGACCCATCCCCATATGGTGACATGGGTGATCTATTCTGGTTGGTGGTTTGGAACCATGGAATTTGATTAGACTTCCATTTCATATATGGGATGTCATCCCATTAACGAACTCCATGATTTTTCAAGATGGTGAAATTGCACCACCAACCAGGTTATTATTAACCATCGTTAAACATTTATTAACCATATATTAACCATATAATAACCATATGGTGATATGGGTGATCTATTCTAAGGATTCATGTGGTTATGGGATTAATCGGATCCGTGCTTGAGACTCCAGATGATTTTTTGCCACCTAATCCCACAAGGGGATATGCCATTAATCTGACTGGGGGTACCTATTTACTGGGATGCACCCCCAAGTCTGGAAGCGCTGAGAAATTCGGAGGTGATTGTTATGGACAAACAGTAGGATATATGGGGATACCGATAAACTAACAGTTTGCTATTGAAAATACCACATTTATAGTGGATTTTCAGTTATGTTAGTTTACCAGAGGGTAAACCTTTTCCAAGAGTAGAGATTTGAGCTCCAAAATCTAGCTGCGAAGGAAACAGAAGATATTCGCTCCGGACAGAGAAAAGTGCCCCAAAATGCTGGGATAGAAATGTGTTTATATGGAAAGTGGTGATAACCCCTGGGTTCCTTCCGGGAAGCCCTCATGTGGGAATGGAGATATATTGAGATAAACGCCATGAAGCTGCGAGATTCCCACGTTTCAGGAGAGCTATCTTGAACCAGGAATCATGTATTCAAAACGGAGAACCAGCAAAATCAGGGTTTTAACAAGTAGAAATGTAGATTTAACCAGGCAAAAATTGATTTATCCAGTACAGAATCGGATCTAATGACACTAAACTGGTTGGTGGTTTGGAACCATGGAATTTGATTAGACTTTCCAGAAACAGTTGGGAATGTCATCATCCCAACTGACTTTCACTCCATCATTTTTCAGAGGGGTAGGCTCAACCACCAACCAGTTGTTGCAGCGATTTCACCGCAAGCCGAATCGGTTGAATCCTTTGAACCTTTGTCGAGCAGATAGTTGGATGCATGTGTTCCCCGCCAGCAATGCTGGTGTATAACTTAAAAATTTACAAGTCATCAATCTAAACAGGTTATGCTAGGGTCATCCTGTATATGTGTATACACTGTATACATATACATATATATATACACACAGATATAGATATGGCCAGGCCTACTCCATTAGAAAGAAAAAAACACTGTAGTTGATTATATCTTCATGCCATACCCCATTTTGTTCATTCGATGTGTTCATCTTAGTCATCAGAAATGGTTCCTCACCCATTTCTGCCAGGGTTTCGCCAGGTCATGAACTCTTTGCTTGTGGCCCGGGCGAATGTCAACGAAAGCCGCGCCGATGGGGCCACACCACTCTTCTTTGCCTCGAGGTCACGTTGAAGAGTTGGAAGTCGTTGTCGGCGACGGTTAGTGGATGATCATGAATGGTGATCATCCCCAATTTTGCTTGAGAATCATGAATACTACCCTCTGGTAATTTGTTACATAGCTATTGAAAATGGCTCATTGACAGTTGTTTTACCTATTCCAAATGGTGATTTTGCATAGCTATGTTAGTTTACTAGAGGGTAATAATGATACATCATCAGCGTAATGATCATGATAGTTATTATCATGATTGCTGATCAACCATGATTTAATATTGTTTCATTGTTAATCAACCTGTGTTACTAATAATATTATGATGATATAATGATGATAATGATATGATGTATGTAATTAATTGTAATAGTATATAGTTTTCATCATGATGATGATGATGATGATCATGACTTGATTGGTTATTGTGGCTATAACTCCAGTATGGTTTATGGGCTTGCCGAGGTGTCTTGGATTTGCTGATGCAGAAAGTGTTTGCCATCGATTCCCCCTTATTCCACTGAATAAACCAAACGGGAAAAGTAAAAACCCGTTATTGGCAAATCCATTGTCTTATGTTGGTTTATACATTGAGGATCATCTCAGAAATCGTAGTGATTGCGAAGCCTAAGTCCCCCGATGTGTGGGGTTGTCCCATATATAACTGGGGTATAAGTATGGTTCTCAAGCAGTGACTCAGTGGGATGATCCTCCAAGTAACCTACTGGGATTTGGTCATAGATACGTCATGTACACCCGGAAATAGAAAAGCGACAAGGATCAAGGAGTTGTGACTTTCTGGTTCTTTTAACATGGGTGATAGTTACAACCCCGTAGAATCTCTATATTTTTTTTCGAAAGCGATGTGCAGTACATCCTATGTATATACATATTTATATATATATACTTATTTTCTAGCAACCCTAAGACATGATAAGACGCTTCATCGTGTGATGTAAACTGTGTAGGGGTCCCTCACCTAAACAGGATTTTTGCACAGTTTTCATTTTGAAAAAAAATCGACCAGTGACCACATACCTATGGGAAAATCACCATGTTTATTAATGTCAACGGATTGGTTTAGTTGGGAAATTTTTAACCGGAAACCATTGATTTTCCCATTTTCAATATGGGGCTTTCCGGTTTCAATTTTCCCTTAATCCAATCCATTGAAAATGGTCGTTTCCTCACTGTGCATCCTTTGTTTCCCACCTTTGTTTCGACAGGTCTGGGTCGCCCCAAGCAGTGCACATGCTGTTGGAGGCATCAGCGGATCAAGAAAAGCTGCTCGGTGCGACGAAAGCGGCGCTTGAAGATCTAAATGATGGGATATACCCTCTGGTAATTTAACATAGCTATTGAAAATGGCCATAGAAATAGTGAGTTTTCCCATAGTTATGTTAGTTTACCAGAGGGTAAATGGGATGATTATAGGATATATTTGGGATATATGATGGGATATAAATGGGATATAAATGGGATGATTATAGGATATAGGGTTGTTTTTGGGACTATTATGGATTGGGATTATTAAGGTTTTAATGATCTCAATGGGAAACCCCTAAATGATGTTAATTTATAGGAACACCCCATATTTGATGGGAAAGACCGTGGTTTCCTGTAGATTTTTCCCTTGAACCAAGCCATTGATAATGGGGAATGGATTTGGAATATAATGAGGCTCCATGGGATATATTTAATGGGATTTAGATTTAAATGCGATTTACTTACTTGCGTTTGCTAGGAAATGGGGGAATGACCCGTAATCACTATTAACAGTATTTAACAATCATCCCATTCCCCCATTCACCAGAAAGTTAATGGAGGATTTGACCATTAAAAATGGTGATCTAAGTGGATACAATCCGTTGATGTTATTTATCGGATAAATGATGAGCAGTGTTCCAAACCCTCTGTCCTCCCTTTTTACTGCCTGCTTAAGAACGGGATTCCCAGTTCATGGATTATGATAATCTCCAGTGTGTAAAGGGTAGTATAATCCCCAAACTATCAACTAACAGGCAGGGGTTCTGAACACTGCTCAAATGAGGTTAGTGGGAGATGGGAGCTATTGGGAGATGGGTATTCCCAACAAAAAATGGGGAAGCCAGTTGGAGCTACGAATGGCAAAGTAATAACCCCATAAAGGATGCAGGAAAAGTGTTTCCTGGATGTTAGTTTGATATGTGTTTGATTTTTCCAGGTTTCTCACTGTTCTATCTTTGCTGGGGCTGTAAAAAATGGGGATCTAAGTGGATATGATGTAATAAAGTTATATAAATCATGAATTTCATAAAGACGATGCTTGGTTCTCCGGTAAACATCTGCAGAACTGGAAATCCATGGGTTTTGATCAATAGGATCATTTCCCATAGCCTCTGGTGATTTGTTACAGTTTGCGAACTTGAAAATGGCAATAGAAATAGTTTATTTACCTATTAATAGCATGGTGGATCTTTCCATAGTTATGTAAACGTTTACCAGAGGGTATCTATCTTAGTTTACTGGGGGGCAATAAGACTCAACCATCAATTATAGGAAGTTTTATTGTGTTTTGACTATTGAAGATATGCTGAAGGTTGGTGTGTATATACGATGGTCAAGGGAAGGTTGGCAAAGTTTAGAACATCATATAGATAGATAGATTCGATTCGATTCGATTAGATTAGATTAGATAGATAATTAGATAGATAGATAGATATTGTATATACATATATATATATACATACATACATATATATATATATATTTATATATATATAGTCATGGATGTTTTTTTGCCGTGATGTGCAAGTATGTGTGCATATGCATCCTCATAGTGACGGTTTCAGTGGGTCAGGGCCATTTTTCTCGAATTGAGGATCCCTTTAAAGTGATACTCAACGGACACTGAAAAACGACCAACATTCTTGGTTTAAGTCTGGTTTAAAGTGTGTTTTCGCACCTTCATTTTTCGTTCCCCTGTTGATTTCTGAAATCATAAAGTTTTGGATACCCTCCGGTAAACATACAAATAGCTATTGAAAATGGCCATAGGAATAGTGAGTTTTCCCATTAAAAATGGTGATTTTCCATAGTTATGTGAAAGTTTACCAGAGGGTAATGCTTCACTACTAGCCATCCCATTTAGGCAAAAAAAAACCGAGGTTGAACCGCAATTTTGGTGGAAACTTCCTGGATTTCTGGATTTCTGGGACTGGGAGCCACATTTTTCACAAAGCCAACCAAATTTAATGCACCATAGTAGGAACCATAGTAGCTTGTTTTTTTGGTCAATCACGATTGAATCATCAGGCTGGTGATTTCAAAAAAAAATTGATGTTCAAGCCTATTTGGCTGACAATCTCATCTAATATGCGAAAAATGGCCATGAACGCACCAGCTGTTGATGATTAGTGATATTAGTTGGGTTTTTAACCTTTAAGAATATGGGGATTTAAATTGATAGACCTTATACATGATGGTTGAATGATTTCGGGGAAATTGTTGTATCCAATTTAAGGAGAATCTCATAATCAACAGGGAACCCCGTCACCAGGATAAAATCTGCATAGATCCCCATTTTTCAGGATGAAATCCCCGAAAACTGACTGGTGCTTAGAGAACGGAGGAATGGTTGGTGAATATGGTTTTTATTATATAGTCATTATGGATCATTCCTTCATTCCCTACCAACCAGTCATTTAATCTCATTTAGATCTCATTAAATCCTTTTGAAGTCCCATGAAACCCCATTATGTTCCAAATCCATCCCCCATTATCAATGGTTTGGTTCAAGGGAAAAATCTACAGGAAACCACGGTCTTTCCCATCAAATATGGGGTGTTCCTATAAATTAACATCATTTAGGGGTTTCCCATTGAGATCATTAAAACCTTAATAATCCCAATCCATAATAGTCCCAAAAACAACCCTATATCCTATAATCATCCCATTTATATCCCATTTATATCCCATTTATATCCCATCATTTAGATATCCCATTTCCCATGTATATCTCATTGAAATCCGTGTTTTAAATCCGAAACTGAGGCTACACGAGGATGGATTCCAGGCCTTGCACATCGCAGCAACCCAATGTCATGTGGAAACCTCTCGCATCCTCATGGGCTACAAGCTGGCCCAGAGTTCCTTGGTCACGGCCATGGCCAAGGAACTACCATGAGAATTGACCATCAAACATAGGGGAAATTACCATAAAAAATTGTGGATTTAATAACTCGGAAAAAATGGGATAATGCTGGGATAATCACTGGATCATAGGGAATAACAAAATGAAAGGTTCGAGCCGAGCGAATTTTGAAGTGCGAACTGGTGTTGAATTTTAGCCACAAATGAATGGTATTCCAACTGACTAACAATCATGGTTGGTGGTTGAAATACGTATATATCTATATATGTACATACATATACCATCATATATATGCCTATATGACATATTTTTTTCACTCCGGCCCATTGCTGCGATTCGCTGCGGCCTTGCATGATGCTGAATTCGACACCTACTTTGGCTTCACCCTGCAAAATCAGCGCCAATGTGACGACTGTACTCTGTCACGGACATTGACGTCCATTTGGCGATATCTGTCTCGGGTGGCATTTCAGTGTCCATCACGATCAACTGATCAAGTTGATCGCGGAAGGCTTCCGCTAAGGCCCCACATAGGGCAGGCGGATACTCCTTTAGGAGTGCTGTGCGGAAAAACCCCTCCTCAGTGACTCCAATTGCTTGGCCTCTGGGGAGTTCTGGGCGAGTAAGCCATTTCCGTAGGTAGAGTGGGAGCTTTGGCATGTTGATGGTCAGCAACTCAGTTGGCTTGGCCGTCGGTGCGCCGAAAAGGCCCTGACTGAGTCGAAGTCGTTGGACACCAGGCGCTTGCATAAGCGCAAGCATCACCGGGAGCTTCCAAATGGAAGCCACTTCAGGTTCCTCTGGCTCTGCAGGGTGTTCAACAACACCAGAGCCGCCCGTGCACACTACCTGTCCAGCCATCAACAACGTGAAGGTCAGCAACTCGTTACCCGTGATCACCTGCTTCACCTCCTTCAACGCTAGACATTGCAAGCCCCATAGGTGTGAAGCATCCCTCACAACCCGCGGGCCACGGCCAGAGACAAGCTTTCTTCCCCTGGCTTTGGACCATGTCTCACATGGAGGCCCCGCGAGAAAGGCTGCAATGTAGCCGTCCTTCGCCATCTTGAGCCAGTAGTTCCTCGTGCCAACCGCCATAGCGTCTCCCCAAACCGCATCGACAACGATGTCCATGCTCACAACGTGCAACACATACTCAGTGGGCACCTCCATGTTGTCCAGGAAATGTTGCACGTCGCCCATACGGCGTCTGCCTGAAAACATGTGCAAGAAGATGCGATGTCGTCCGAATTGCCTTGGAATATCAGCACACTTCTCCCAAGTCGTCACAGCCACATCGCGACATTCTTGCTCTAGCTCCTCCAGGTCAATGTTGTCATGCGCCGGAGGATGCTGCAGTCCCCATTGCTCCGGGGCAAGCAGCTCTGTCAATCGTGCTCTGGCGTCTTGGGCGGAGACATTCCATCGCTCCACGTCTTCATCTTCCAGTGTCTCCATGAAGTAGCGCAAGGTGCTTGTCCAGGTACTCCAGGAAATAGGACGCTGCAGCGCCTCCACTTGAAAAGCCTGCACAGCGCTGGACAAGTCCTCCGCATCGATGAAGGTCTCCATGTAGAACATGTGAAGGTCATTGTCAATCGCATGCTCTTCTCTGATACGCGGCGAAGGTTGTCTGGGTCCTTCAGCCTGAATTGGAGGCAGAAGACGATCATGCTGCTGGCTCAACTCTCGGTCTTGCTGCGATCCCGCACCCGGTGGCGGTTGGCAGGCATAGTTGCGACTCATGAGCAATTGTCGACAAGCCTTGACATAGTAGAGGTGCGCAGACAGCTTCTACATCGTGTGATACTCTTTTAAGCATGATGGGCACACAGTGGAGTCACTCAAGAATCGGCGCTTGGCAACTTGTTGATGAACTCGGAACATGTGAGCCGCTTCTCCAGCTCGGGTGCGGCACAGTTTTTGGCAGCTCAAGCACCCATACACTTCATGCCCGCGATGGCCTGGAGCAGTATGGTGCGGCTCATAGTCATAGAGGTCCCTGAAGATGTTCAGCATCTCCACGTGGAATCGATGAACCAACCAGCGCTTTCTTCTTTGCTGGATGGCATGCTCGCTAGCCCTGCGGACAATCCTTCGCCAATAGGAGCGATGATGTATGATCAGGTCCTTCCAGGTGGCCCAGTCAATGCGTGGGTCTGGCAGAGATGAACTGTGCCAGATCTGACGCCAGATCCACACCATGTCGTCTTCAACCAGGTTCGTCCAAGCTGCGTCTTGGGCCAAAAGGCCCCATTCATGTCGAGGTCCGCAATGAAGTAGTGTGGCCACATACCGCAGTCGGGCTCGACGAATCAGTTCCATCGGACTCGGCAGGCTGACTTCTGTCAGAATTGCATCATCTGCAATATGATGATCAGCTGGAATTGAAAGCAGTCTGCGATACATCTTGATAACGGCAGCATGAAAGCGATCAACTGTCACGTTGTCATTCACAACCCATGTCTCCGCACCGTATAAGAGCTTGCTCAAGATCAGCGACTCAAATAACTGGGTACGCTTCTTGAGAGGCAATCTCCAATTTCGGAAGAGCAACTTGCTGTGGTGATTGAGCGCCGCAAACGCAATTCCGATACGCTTCTTGATCTCTTCCTTCTGATCAGTCGAATGGTGGAGAATGCCTCCTAAGTGGCAATAGCTGGCAGTGATCGGTACTTCATGGAGTCCATACTCAGAAATGACCGGAAAACTGCCTGTGGAATGCGGGCCATGGTATAGCTGCTTGTAGTGGCGCGACCGCTCCCCTCTGAACGAGAATAAAATCTCCGTCTTGTTCTTGTTGAGGTTGGGCGTCATGCAGTGCTCCAAGCAGAGTTCCAGCAATTTACTCATGACGACCCCCATGTTGGCAACTATGTCAGCTGCTGTCGGGCCCTCGACACAGACTGCCAAATCGTCCATCCACGTCGGCCCTACAAACTCGTCAGTGCCGTCATGAACTTGTTCAGGATCCGCAAATAGCTGAATCTGTGACCAACTGGGGAATGTACTGATCAAGTCATTGGCACTCATGAAGGATTGGAGCTTGCGTAGCACAACCGCCCAGACATAGCTGAACACAATGTCTGCAAATGGGTCCCCTGGCCTGGTGCCTTGTGCAGTTTGTACTACATCCTGTTGTCGATTCATCCAAAAATGAGTCTGTAGATGTACTGCTTGCAGGCTTCGTCTGTCAACAGTTGGCAGCTGCGCTTGCTCCAATGCCGAAGGTCCATCCAGGGTTTGTCTGAGAACCTGCAAGGCGTCCGGCGGCATGTTCAATCGGCCCATGAGCTTGGCCAGATCCTCATCAGTGACGGCGCCCTGCATGCAAATGGGTCTGAAGATCCTGTAAAACGCTTCTTTCAGGTCTAGAAATGCAATGGCGCACGATTTGCCTTGGGTTTTGGCTTGTCGCATGTAGGCACGTGCTAAGTGGACCCCATACGTGACCGGCATGGCCCGGCGCCCTCCAAGCTGTTGCGCTTGCAAGAATGATTCAAATGTAGAGGCTTGAGCAGATCGCAATGTCCGATGGATGGATTTGCCAATGTGACTTGAGATCAGCAGGGACCTGTACGAACTGCAAGAAGTAGTGGCACCCTTACCTTTATAGGCGTGGACTAAGAGACCTCCCTTGTGCATGAGGGGCTCGTGTCCAAAGAGGAGGAGTTTCCACATAGAAGCAAATGTGGCTTGCGCGCATTTTTCAGGAGCAAAATGGCAGACTTCTCCAGGGATACCATCAGGTCCAGTGGCTTTGTTACACGCCACTTTCCTGTATGCCAGTTCTAGGTCAACCAGGGTTGGGAGCTGCTTGGCCTCGATCTGGAAGTTGTCCCTGGGCCGATCTTTCAAAGACCGGAGCCAGTCTTCTTTGAGCTCCTCATGCGTTTGACGAAAGCCACCTTCCATGCTGGCGAAAAACTCAATCCAAACGTCAAGGGCTTCACTGGGTGAGCTGCACGGTGTCTCATCAGGTCGGTGTACCAGCGGAATGGTAGCTTGCTTTCTCTTGCGTGGATTGGTCGGGCCAGTAAATTCACGCATGATCTTAAGGATGCTACCAGCTGGTGTGTTTTCATCAATGTTGGCCAGTCGCTTTTTCATCATCTCAGTTTTGGCGACTTTGAGCTGTGCACGAAGTTGAGAGCGGTGGCAAAGGAGTGCAGCCATGTGATGCAAAATGCCAACACGCAATGTGGTGCCATACTGAGACGCTTCTTCTCTCGAGACGTCACTGTCTCGCTGACTCCATGCTTTGAAAACCATAGCCAAGCATTCTCGCCCAAGTAGAGCACGTCCTCGTTTGAGTTGCTTTCGGCTATGAAGCATGAGCTGTCTGGTTTTCCAGATATCATCACTGATATACGACTTCTTGGGGCCCAGAGGCTTGTTTCCTCGTACTTTCCTCATCGCTTCATGAAAAGTCTTTCTCACTTGACCTTCATGTGCCTCGATGTCAGCGTCCCAGGGTGGGACTGTCATGCTGGTGAGGGCAGTGCGAAGGTTTGCAGGCGTATTTGGAGACGTCCAGTCAATGAAAGGGAGCTCCTGTTGCTGCTCTTTGGGCGCAGTAAGTTGTCTCCAACAGAGCTGGATTCCAACAGCCTGATGGTCATCTCGTGAGGTTGCGAGGTCAAGCTCATGGAGGACTTGTGACCATGTACAGGACGATAGCCATGTCGTCGGGATGGCAATGTAGTCCAAACAATGTGTTGTGGTTCCATCAATGGACGTCCAGGTGTCACGATCTCCTTGGTGGATGCAAGTGGTAGACGGTAGGCACATCCCAAAAGTCTGCAGACATCTTCTCCACGGCTCTGTGTTGCGCGAGCTGCGCAAGCCTCTCTGGAATACCGTGCAATTGTCGGCCTCTCCTGGTTCTGCATTGGCGTCCATCATCCAGAAACAAGGATGTTGGTCCAGGAAGTTGCTCAGGATGTCCATTGTGGCACTCCACCAGTCCTCTCGCTCTTGGGTGGACTTGCCGGAGTGTGGCCCATGTCCAACAAAGAACCAACAAGCAAAAT